GAAACCAAAAATTGATATTATGGTATTACACTTCGGACAGAAAAGAATTCATGCTTGACTCCGCTCTAAGAAGAGCAGCTGGTTTATTATTTGGGAGACCAAGAATCTTTCTAAGAAATTTGTTTTCAATCACTTTCATTCTCAAGGGATTATTCCATGCCCATATTTCCGCACCATGCAAAATTTGAGCGTACACCTGACACCTTGGCCTCAAACTCTAAAGGCTAGAGCAATTAAGTTGCCCCAGTGAGCCTACAAAATTCAAGCCTAACATACTTGCATAATTTATTAATATGCAACTCCCATCTTTGACCTTTGTCTAATTTACTTGAGTTTTTGGACATCTCATTTCATTTATATACAATACTTGCCATATTAAGATTAGCTACTTCAGAAAGGCTTGAAAATACCTGTTCATCCACCTATTATCTATTTTGCACTATTTTTATATACAAATAATTTACTCTTGTTACAAATATTGTCATTTTGAGGCTAACTTTAGTACCTGATAATATCTTTCATTATACTGAAAGATGACAGATGTGGCATGAAAAAGCTCTCCACTTTTCACCTTCATAGAACATTTATATTATTGGCCTGATTTGTTCTGTACTATTAAAGTCAATGGTTTCACTTCAAAGGAAGAGAAGGAGAGAATTTAGAACCACTGTGTCCTATTTCTCAACAGAGGATATAGGTTATTCCACAAGCCTGGTCTCTTACCTCATTTTCGCAAATAGGAACTACAGCCGCAAAGCTTTGTTCAGTTATGGAAATTATTTCTTTCTCATGGACATGACCTGCAAATTAGATTGTCTACCAATTCTGCCATGCTTACCTGTATTGATTAGTGCCCTTCTCTGCAAGTAGCCTCATTGGAATAAAGGACACTACTCATGTAGTAAGATACTACACCATGTAAGTAAATGTGGCAGAATTGAGACCTATGTTAATTAGACACTATTATTTACATAGCAACCAAAGCACAGCAGGCAATTCTGTTTATATCAGTGGAGTAACTCTGGTTTACACCTTTGTAAAACATAAATATATGAAAAATGAGAGAATAAAATGTAACAAAATAACTCAATGGTGAGGTCAACACACATCTTGTTAAAACTATTATTTATGTTTACATGGTATTTTGTTTGATTTTTATAGTACTCAGGAAAACAAAATCTTTAGCATTGTTGTATCACAGAACTCAAAATACAGGATACAGATCAATTTGCCAGTCACTGTGGAATGCCACATTTTACCAGTCACTTTTTATTTTCCTTAATAGGTACTGTAGTATTCCCTTTGAAAGGTTTGTCACTTTGTTATGTATCGTGGCAAAGTACAATATTTTGACACTTGTTTTTGTCACAAATTGGAACAAAAAAAAATAAAAATATGCTCTTCCTGTGAAAGAATTTGATAAGTGTAATTGTTAAAATACTATATAATTATTTTCTTGGACAAGTAACAAAAGAACTCTCCATCTTTCTCACCCCTTTTTTCCATCCTGGGACACTGCAATCCTCTATGGTTGCTCTAAGATATCCTATTCTAGTGGAACTAGCCACTGAAAGTTTCCACTGGCACCAAATAGCAACTAGGTTTTGGATATAATAAAGATCTGTTAGTCTACTGCTTCCTGGGAATACTGAGTCTCGAACAGAAAACAACAGAGACCAAGAGAAAGAGTCTAGTGGAATCTACTGGAATTTCTGTCAAGGCAGCCTCCATTACAGCCTTTCAGTTTCATTACGCTTCTCTATGTCTAAATTCTTCTATTTGCTCCCTTCCTTGTCCCAGCTATTCCAATACACTCACTCTCTCTCTCATCTCCCTAAGGATTTAAGTCTCCTCCTTCCTTTTCTCAGCCTCTTGGTGTCTTGTTTTCTGCAAAACTCCTCTCTTTAAAAAGTAGTGACTTCTTGGTTGGTGTAAGATGCCGGTCTGGGGACTCACCTCTTCTCCTTAGGCACAAAACAGGCACCATTCAGGCAGTGGAAGTGGCAAGCTACACCACAGTGCCCTACCAGTGTACCTTAGTTCTGACCTGGAAAGACCATCCCTAACTTATGGCTACACTGCAGCTGGGAGTGCTTTCCAGAGCGGCTAGACAGACACGTGCTTGCTCTGCTCACGCCAGCACACTGAAAATAGCAGTGTGGCTGTGGTGGCATGGGAAGTGCTTGAGCTAGCCATCCAAGCAGGTACCCAGAGGGTCAGGCGGGCTTGTATTCAGGCAGCTAGTCTGAGCCACTGGCCGTGGCTACACAGCCACACTGCTATTTTTAAGCACACTAGCTCAAGCAGAGCCTAGCACGTGTTTGTCTACCCATGCTGGGAAGCATGCTCCCCGCTACGCTGGAGACATATCCTCCCTCCTCTCAGTTTTAGGGTATTTCAGACTCAATTAAAACTTGGCCCTCACTGCTGAGACAGTCCGCATCAGTGCCAGTTGTAAATGAGTTTTTCAGATGTAGACACCTATGCACTAAGACCTGGACTATAGCTCCATTTTTACCTGCCGCACGACTCAATTGTAATAAATACAAAACTAGGCATCATTTCACATTCTACAGCTCCAACCAACTAGGAGATTTTATTCAGCCGATGCACACTACTGTCTCAGAGGCATACAGGATCTACCCACAACTTTAGCAGAGGTAAGAAAAAGGAGAAAGCCATGCTATGGTGGCTGAGCAAAACTCAAATCTTACTACAATACGTGATCCCTATTAAGTAGCCAACTTGCAAAGGTTCTGTATGCTTTCTCATATCTAATAAAGAAACCCAACCATTAAGTTAGCTCAATGTTTAGAATTATGCAGAAACGAACTGATCTTTGCAAAATATTCCAGACATCTGTTGTTGATGCAGAATAAACTAACTCACAAACCAAGGATAATGTTTAACAAATCAGCAGCCAACTTCAGATCTGTCGCAACCATTCTGAGCTTCACAGCAACAATGGAGATAGAAGTCTGATGCTCTTCCTTTAAAAGCACGGACCCATACAACTTGAAAATCACCATTACCAGTACAGGACCCAGGACACAAAGGGAAGCAGTTATGTGGTACACACACTGACTACATAAATACCAGTCTTCTGCATATTAATCTGAGTGGAAATAAAAATCAATAGTTTCATGTTAATAGTGGAAATGTGAAATGAAAATGTATATAAAATGAACTATTACAGAGTAAAATCATGCCAGGATGTTCTGCAGAAAGATAATGTGTTTTCTGGTAAAATACAAGTTTTAATTATACTGTGCGCTGCAGGAACAAAATTATTATCTCAAGTGGGCCCATGAAGAGGCAAATGTACAAAAATTTATATTGAAAGAAATGATTAATGTGTACTCAATGTTTCAGTTACAGCCAAGTGGGCCATTTCACATTATGCCCCTACTATAAATATAACCAGGCCTTGCATTAATGTACTGCTGATTGCATCAAGATAATATAAAACACGCAAAGCTTTGGCTTTGAAGCAGTGTGTCAGCTTTGACATAGTGCTAGCCAGCAGCAGGTGAATCTCACTGCAATCACAAATTCTGAGCCAATGTCTACTCCTGCAGCCAGAACAGCAAGCAGAGAAAAAGAAGAGAATATAAAGACTATAGAAAGGAATATGGGAGAAAGAAAACAGCAAGCGACATACAAACCTAACATGCATTCACATTTTATATTTATGTATATGTCACACAAACACTACATTAAAAGAACATTACAGTTGCCAAGTCAAGCACTCAAAAATTAGGAAATGCCACAATTAAGTTTGCCAGTGCAACCTTAATTCAGCCCCCTTGGGCATAAGCATTATGCTACAGTCTTTAATTACATGATCACATACTATATTTTCCACAGGATCTCTGCCTCATTCAGTGCACAGGCCAGATGATGCTCATGGAATAAATCCCAGCTGCTAGGGGCAGCAATTGCAGAGAAAGACCTGCTCAGTTCCTGCAGCCTTGGATGGAGAATGCTTAGTCACTCTGTGGGGATGGTGCATGCGCTGTCCAGTCAGCACATGGGAGCTGTGAGCATGCTCACAACAGAAAAACTCTTCAGAAAAATGTAGCTCCCAAACTCTAACAAGTTTCTACCAAGCATATGTGAACTGTAACTTTTCAAAGCCTATAATTTGGCCAGTTTTTTTCGGAACCAGACACATTCCTGACACCAGGACAACCTCCCTGCCATGTTTCAAGTCCCTGCTAAAAAACATGGAGACACCAAAGCTTCTCAAAGAAACAGTTATAGGATTTTTTTAAAACATGAACAAATAATTTTTCTCTAGCCTCATTCTGAGAAATGGTTATAGAGTTTAGCTAAAACTTTCATAACAAAATTCAGTCTGACACTTAGTATGGAATTTTTCAGCCCAAACAGTTAAAGTTTGGTAAAGTTATAAGTGATTGAAAACAGGGTCTTGTAATGGAAAGTGTCACGCAACCTTAGCTACAGCGCAGTGCTGCCAACTCTGCCTATAACACACACAAATATATACAGGGCGAGAGTGAACACAGGAGACAGAAAGCACAGAAAAAGAGAGAGCATGACAGCCAGAGATATTTGTACAGCTGAAACCAAATTCTGAAACAATATTTTGACAAATGAGAGCAGAAGATCACCATTGTCAGAGCTGTTTTTAAATGACTCCAGTGTAAAAACCAAAATATTTAACAAACTGAAATAATGTACTTATTATTATAATGTTGTACTTGTCTAAAGTTAGAAAAAACTATTACAAAGTTAAAACAAGGTTTTTTGTTTTTGTTCATGCAAATGATTCCGATTGAAATAACAGTCTGAAAATACTTGTCTAGCAGAACAACAGGTGACCCCACGTTCTCTTCTATAATCTTATCTGCAAAGCATCTACATTCTGATGGAGTTACATGAACAATAATTATATTAATTATCACAATGTAAATCCTGTATAACTATTAAAAATATTACAGATTTAGGTTGAGAAAAGAATCATGACAAAATCTTACCTGCAACATAGTCACCAAATCCAATGGTAGTTAAAGTGATAACTACAAAATAAATTGCATCTAGTGTGCTCCAGCCTTCTATATGCTTGAATATTACGGCAGGAAGAGCAACAAACAGCACACAGCCAAACAATATGAATATTATTGTTGATATGATGCGAATCTTTGTCTGGCTTACATTCCATTTCTACAGAAGAAAGGGAGGGGAAAGAAAGAAAAATCCATGGTTAATAAAACTGTGTGATTGTACTTGATCACCTATCAAACCCAGAATGAGAAGCATCACCTTTACTAAGGAGCAGAGCTGGATGAATCATTAATTTTTAAGTTCATTAGCAGTTAAGAAAAAAAAGATTAGCCAACCAGAACAGCAACAAAATGTTTCAGAATTTTTGGTGAATTGACACAAATCAACAGAAATTTTGTTCCGGTTAATGAAATATTTTGTCCAACCAGAAACAAAATGTTTAACTTAGTTTATAGGCATTTTAATCCTTCAGAAAAATAAAAGCAAAGGAAATGAAGGGTCGGAGTTACAAAATGGCCAGAGGAGGAGGAGAAGGATCTCTACTTGTAACCTTTAGGCAGTAGGTAGGCACTCAGCTGGGATGAGTGAGATACAGGTTCAACTCCATGCTCTAGGCCAGGGATTAGAAACCAGATCTCTCCCTGCCAGGCTGAGTGCCCTAACCCCCAGGCTATTGATTATTCAGGAGTGGGTTACTCTCAGCCTCTCCTGTTAAAGCTATTCCACTTTGCATAAATAATTAAATAGTCATTGGGGCAGGGCCTTTAACTCGGGTCTCCCCTCTTCTCTCATCAACATCTCAAAGAGCTCCTAAGTGTCCTTGTGAATCCAGCCTGAAAAAAAATTTAGAGCTGAAATGATTCAACAAATTTATGACTAGAGTTGGGTCAACCTGAACTGCATTTTTCAGCACATAAACTATTTGTCTGAAAAAAATTCCCCAGCTGCACTCAGAAGGCGAGGATATTATCATTCTGGGTACGTCTACACTGGAATAAAAGAGCCGCAGCTGGTCCAGGTCTACTGATTTAGGTTTGTGGGGCTCAGGCGGCAGGGCTAAAAATTGCTGTGTAGATGTCCAGGGGTCCACAGCTCAGGCTCCAGCCCAAGCCCAAATGTTGGCACAGCAATTTTACAGCCCCACGGCCTGAGCCCCGTGAGTCCAAATCAGCTGATCCAGGCCAGTTGCCAGTGTTTAATTGCTGTGTAGAATTACCCTCTGGGTCCACCACAGGAATAGAGGTGTTTATTCAAAGCAAATGTGGATATTCTGGGAAACACTTGCAGTCTCTGAATGTGATTCCCTTTTTGTTCTGAACGAATGGCATTTAGACCACTCAGTAATACTAAAGGTTCAGCAGATTTGTCATACTGCAGTTTGGCATACTTAACTCAATGTTTAAATGGGCCTCAAATGGCTTCTAATTTTGTAGGTGCAATTTTTCTCCTGCAAGTAACTACAAGTAAAAATCATGCATTTTAGCCTTCTAAGTATCTGATTGCACCCACAAATCAGGTAATGGCCTAACTATATTGGTTCAATTAAATGCAGGCAGAAAATTGCACCCCCAAAATTGGAGACTTTCTTAAAATCTGGCCTATTGTATAGACAATAAATGAAACCAGAAAAGAGCTTAACTGGTTCCTGATTGACCTTTCCTTATATTTTTTAAACTAGTTTAGTGCTTGTGAAAGCTAGTCCAGACAGTCATCAAGACCAAAGCCAAGCTTTTATCATCCAAAACCAGGAAGCACCGGCTGTGGTGATGTAAAATCTCCTATGATGTGTCTCAATTTTTATTTTATTTTGCTGGTGGGGAGTGGGAGGGGAAAATCACCTCTAAGAGTGAGAGAGCCATTCAGTGTCTGACCATTCAAATCAAACCTTCCCTGCAGAGACTGCCAACAAGGGAGCAAATTGCTGCTCAGTTTTATAATATGGATACTTATCTGTTAGGAACTGAATTAAGCAGTTTTCCACACAGGGAGACAATTAGCCAATAAATGCAAATAGAACTGGTCAAAACTTTCCAGAATCTGAATTTTTCAACAAAAATTTTCTTGAAAATTTTGATTTCTGAAGAGAAGTAGTAAAGAATGATCAAAACATCTCATGATGTTTTCTTTCCATTTTTTCAGCCAACTCTAGATGCAAATAGCTCTTGGTTGCCAATGATCCAGCTGAGTTTGAAATGGTGGCTTTGAGCCGAAAGTAAGTACCCTGAGCCTTTTCTTTTCACTTGTCTTAAAGCCAGCATTTGCTTGGTGGATGAAACTGTCTGGCATAACACCATCTGCATAGTGAGAATCTCAAAAGCAACCATGCTAGCGGACAGTTCCCACTATAAAGGAAAACAGGCAAGCAATACGGCATGCCGCACAGAACTGGTCCCTTTGAACACACAACAGTTGCAGTGCTGGTACAAACAACAGGAAATTCTGCTGCAAATTAAGTCTGCTAAATAAACATGTATTTAAAAATGTAATATGACAGGTACTGTACCACCTTCTGCCACTGGGACAACCAGCGCTTGGGTTGTAGCTGTAGCTGCTTCAGCCACTGGAGGCTGCAGTATACCTAGATGCAACTGAGGGACTTCTGGCCCTACAGCACAACAGGCAGCCGCAGAGAGAGGTGACACGGAGGAGGAAATTCACACTTTTGTGGGTCTAACTAGGCAGAGGCAGAGTATGCGGCTGTCTGCACATGCTTCTTGCTGCCTCTGCTCCTGCTTTTCCAGATCTGGCAACAAGCGTGGGAGGTGAGACTCATAGTGGTGGGTGTCAGGTAGGAATGGTGAGGTTTCCATGTGACAGCCACCAACTAGTTAAAAGGAGCAGTTTTGCCAACTTTCACATTGCAACCATTGGTGTTTTTCTTTAAGTCCTGGCTGCTGAATTCCTGTGAATATGTAAGAATCTCAGGTTTCATTTCATGTTTTTAAAGTGTCCACACTTCATGGTTGTAAAGATAAGCATGAAAGTGTGACCTCGGTGCGCCTAAAGGCTCAAAAACCAGAAGGCCAATAAAAAGAAACCCTAATGTACTTTTCTAAAAATTGCAATCCTAGACGGCCCTGACTCATTGATTTTTGAATGTTTGGGGTTGGCAACTTGCTCCTAAATTCCCCTGGGGCAATTTTTGTGCTTTTACAATTATACTGTCCTGTTCTGAAAAGATGTTTTTCTCTGCCCTATTTCTACTGTAGATTAAAGACCAACCCAAACAGGGGCCACTTGCTCAGCCTTCAGAGACTTATGTCTGTGAGTAACTTCACATGTGAACAATCCCATTGACCTCAGTAGAACACCTGATGGTGTCATAAGCAGGGCACAGGCCTCAACTATGCCAAGAAACATTGAAGCCAAGTCCTGTCAAATACACATGAAAAAAATGAAATGAAAGGAGAATTTTTTTCCCAATCTCTTTCAGTTACATGAATTGTAGGTCTTACTTGTAAAAACAGAAAAGTACAAATTTAAAAAAAATCATACTCTGTCTGAAAGTTAAGTTGCTAGTGTCCCTTTAGATATCTGTTTTATGCCAATCAGTGGGATAAAGCTATTATAGGCTCAGAAAAATAAATGTATAAAACAGGCAGTGGGATTTAGTTTCAAATGGATTCTTGTGTAGGTGTAAGCACAATTTTTGCCTACTACCATTTGCACATGCCTAACCCATGTTTTTGCACTTATGATGAAGCAGAAGAGAGCACTGGCCAACTAAAACCCTCTGATCTCTCTCAAGTTCTATTTCCTTTATAGTGAGTCTTTCTTTTAAAGACTATATTCTCTCCCACCCCCTCCTTGTTAAAATTAAACAGAAGGATGCTTATTTTAGTTCAGGGGAAGTCCTGGAGAAGGGGAGAGTCCAAAGGTCACTTCCTATGCTGTGGGGGCTGTATAAGGAGGGCAAGATACAGTATGGGGAATGGAAAGACAATAGAAGGGCTCACTAGAAGGTGTAGCAAGGAAATACAGGAGTACACTTCCTGCTCACTTTGAACACTGCCTATAATATCAGTGTATGTTTTATCTATGGTTTACCATCAATCTCAAAGTGCCTGCACCGATTCCCCTATATTATCTCAAGTTATCCCATTCAGCCACATTTCTGTGTCAGTGACTTTTTACTATAGTGCAATACTATAATTTTTTGAAACAAACTGCTGATGCTCTAGGGTATTTTAAAGGCAAATAAAAATATGAGTTGATTGATTTGGATCCAATTTCTCTTCCCAGTCATAATTATTTTAGGAAACTGAATCTGAATGTATATGTTGAACTTCACCCAGTTCTCTGTCAACAATGTTGGATAACATGTACTTACAGTAACCTTCAACGCACCTTTTGCCAGACATTAACAATGATTCAATGCATTATTCCCTTTAAAAAGTTTACTATATTTTTACTTAATTTACTATATTTAGAGTGATGAGTAACATTCAGGACAATATATTTAGCATACTTACAACAAATGTATCTTCTACTTTGGCAATTCCTTTTCCAAATATGGTCCCTAGTTGATCTCCAACTCCAGCCAACAGAAAACCAAACAGAGGAATTCCCAATAAGGCATAGATGATACAGAATATCTTTCCACCTTCTGTACGTGGCGAGATGTTCCCAAAGCCTACATTACAAACAACTTGGGCTATTTATAAATTACTTACACATATTAAATTACATGTCCAAAAGTATTGCAGGAGGAGAAAACTTAAGCAGTCCCCGTTGGATCAATCACATTATAGACTGTACATTGCTATAGATTCACCCTCGTAATTTGATTTTCTCATTTTCCTCATTCAGAGTGTTGTCCAATTAACCAATTTGTCTCCCTTATACATATAATTCTTATATTGCTGAATTTTTTTTCCTTCTCCCACAGAGTAGCTTCACCATAAAGGCTGACTCCTGCACTCCCTACTCAGGCAAATCTCCCACTGAAATCATTTGGAGCAAATCTTCCATTGACTTCAATGGGTGATTAACCTGAGCACAGGGTGCAAGATCAGACCCTACTAAGTGGAAATTACTATAACTAGAATTGCAATTTGCAGACTGCAATGCATTGAAATGGTATGCAGCTTACATTAAAATGTAGTAGAAACCGTGTTCCAAAATCACAACGAGCCACATTTTCAAGGGAGACAGTATGAAACCACATTTGGATGAGCAAGATGAGGATTTGTACATTAAGTGGGACTATTCATATACTTTAGGACTCGAAGGAGTGCACACATACAGGTTTTCGCAGGCACAATAAGACTTTGCAATTTGATGCCACTGTCCATTTGAAAACTCAAATCACTTACAAAGATTATTGAATTTAGTTAAAAACATACTTCCAGCATGCATTTTAGCTCTGTTTTAAAATAGGGAAATGGAGGTATAAATAGTTCAGTCCTGTAAGATGCTGAATGCTCTGAACTCTAAGCCCCTCACAGGATTGGACCCTAAATGACTTGTCCATGGCCACACAAGAAGACTATAGACTAAAATCCAGATCTCCTGAGTCCCAGTTCTGCATCTTAACCCAAAAGCCTTCCACCTTCCTTGATTCACCCACATTTTTCATGGGCTATTTGCTGCAATCTCCTATCCCTATAAGCAATTTCCATGCTTCACTTTTCACCAAGATGGTGGTCACTAATAAAGGCTTGAAAATTTCAGCAAAAATGTTTTTCTTTCCTCTCCCTCTCTGGTTCATTTTCATCAAAATCTTCTACAGAAAATTTCAACTTTTCTATGAAATATCAAATCAGAATATTTTGGTCACAAACCAAAATCCTTTTTGTTTTCAGGCATTCAGTTTTTCAACAAAATATCAATTTTTTCCATGGAAAGCAGACATTTTTTGCAAAAAATTTTGTTTACTCAAAAATCCAATTTTCTATTGAAAAACAATTTAGACAGAAAACTTTCAACAAGCTCTACTCGGAATTTATAATTAATTTTTTTTCTTTCATGTATAGTTCCCCATTTATACTGATTGAGATATAGTAGGGGCATTTGAACTTCCAGAATGCAAGAGGTAATACAAATAAGTGAAGCTCTTTTTTGTACCTAGCCCAATTTCTGTTTATCTATTTTGAGCACCCTGGTTTTGCACCAAAGACAAATTTTCTTCACATGCCGCATTTTGTTTATTTTTATTACTGCCCTTCTTGAAATTAGAGATAAATCAGAACCAAAATCCTGTATCCAAACATCTCCCCTTTTCCAACACATACACACTTTGGAAAATTTTAAATAAAAATCTGGTTATGAATGCTATGGCTTGAGCCAGACATTAGAAAAGTTTGTAGTAAAGTATGTAGCAGTTGTATTGATCTAAGAAAAGCATTGTTATTTCAAATTTCAAGAATGTAAAGTATCCCCAAACCAAATTTATGTTGCAGGCATTCTATTATTCTTAATAGAAACACTACCAGTATCCTTTTGTATATACGGGGGCCAAAATCATCCCTGGAATAACTCCCCGGAAGAAAACAGAATTATACAATTCTCAATATGCCTTAATGTAAGGCTCAATATGCCTTAATGTAACATTTAACCTTAATGTAAACCTCATTTCCCAGACAAAAATGAGTTATGAGGGAATTAAGGTTGAGTACACATCAATAATCAACAGCAAAAAAAGTTATCTGTGTTGTAATTATCCCAGAATCAAGCATTATAAACCCAGAAAATTCAGTTAGGTAAAAAGAAGTGCCAACCTATTAGGTGATAGAAATGCACCCAAACAACCTTAACTCTGCCCTGTAGTGACACTATGCAAAAAAAATCACGATTATGATTAAGACATTTTAGCATTTGTTGTCTCTGATTAGATTAAACTGATTTTAACTAAATATATGTTTTCTCCCTTCCCTGCCCACTACCCCGTGATGTCACTACGGGGCAGTGTAATACAGTGCTCTGAGTTAATCTGGAGCCAGGACTGGAGCCACTGAGGTTTACCATTCAGGGAGTTTTAAACTGATGCATTCCGCACTTTACTGCACCAAGCAGATCTCAGGGCACGATAGAATCTGGCCCCCGAGTTTTAAAATAAATTAGCTTCTGTTTACTCATGGCCAAACCAAGAGAGAGAAATAAATACTATTTAGTCTGGTTTAATAAACAGGTCTGTGTATGTAGCTACAGTATTTTTGAATAGATTCTATTGTTCAATTTTTATAAGGCCTTAGCATAACTTAGAACCAAGCATCTGGGGCACCATGTGCAATTCAGACTCTTGTTTTTGGCAATAGCCCTTGATTTTGGTAGAGCAAAGAGACATATTTCCCTGTTCCACATCCTCTCAGTGATGATAAAATACTTACCCACCTAAGCATACTCAAAAGAAAGAGGCTGCTGTATTTTCTTTTTGACTCTGACATTTCCATTTCCATTCCTCCCACTGCTGTCAGAGGAGATATGTTTCTTGTGCACTCTATTTGTAATCTGCTACTAATCACTTCCAGGACATCTAGTTCCCATTCAGCTCTATGTTTACATCTTTACAGAGACGTACTTTACATAGGAACTAGATGATGAATCTCTTTGCTTTTATGGCCGTCAACCATTTGTATATGCTCTTCATAACAGATTTTTTCATGTAGAAACACCATAGAAAAGGTCTCTTTTTAATTAATTCCATATGAAGGGTTCTCACAGACACACACATTCTGGATTAACGGCCAGCAGTGGCAGGTGGTGCAGTGTACCTCTGGCTGGATGCTCACTTCTCAGGAAAAAAGACTACATGTTTTGGGATCTATCGTTATAACTTAGTGCCTTAGCCAGGGCTTTGGAGCTGTGCTTCGGCTCCGGAGCAAGCTCCAGGCAAAAACCTGCAGCTCCACTGCTCCGGAGCTGCTCCGCCCTTCAGCTCTGGGCTCTGCTCCAAAGCCCTGGCCTTAGCGACATGGTCTGTTATAAGATTTCCATCACACACATGCACAATATTATGTTTCATAATAATATGCTACCACATATTACAAATCAGCCTGTCTTGATAGCTACATGAATTGTCCCTAAATAATATTGTCCTATTACTTCCCCACATTGTGAGGTATTCTTTTATTTAGGGAATGGGAGAGGAAATGTACATGTGCTTATTGTGATTGATTTAATTTTTAAATGTTTTGTCTAAAAGAAAGCTATGGTTCTCTAAAAACATCAGCAGCATGCTGCTCCTACATCAAATGAGAGAAAAACTACATCCCACATAGCTACACCATGCTGATCCCAGCATATAAACCATAGGGACACCACTACATGCCTCCAAGTATCGTGCAGCTCTTTTCTATTTTCAGTGATCACACAGACATTCACAGCATTAATGGACTTGCTATAGCTTTACCACTGAATACGTTACATGGCAGCAAAGGTCTTCACTGCAGAGTTCTCTCTTTTGCTCTATTAGCAGCTCCAGGCCCATCCAGATGCCGGATCCTGTTCCCAGTCTGCCATATTGGCTGAATTACCTCTCCAAATCAGCAACATTTACATCCCTCCACACTCTCTCTCCTCCTGTCCCCTGGACCAGCATTTGTAAATAGAAACATGTCTGGGTTCTCAGGCTCTGCACACAGGTCAGCACCACAACCATACAGGCAGTTGCTGTGCAAGGAGAGATTCTTCACACCTCCTGTCCCGTGTGTGTTTCTACTCCTCTGGTTCCGGTACAAGGGGATTCCTGGATTTAGCATCTAGAGTCAAAGTATTTCTTTCAAACAGTTTGTGGATATGAACTAAGGCAGTGTTTTTCAAACTTTTTTGGCTGCATACCCCTTTCCAGATAATGTAGTCTACTATGTATCCCCATCTGAGATAGGGTCATAATATACCTATGATTAGATTACCTAGTCTTCCTAAATAAAATGCATTGTCTGCCATTACAGGATTTTTCTTGCCTACACCAGTTTGAAAACCACTGAACAAAGGAATCCAAAACCCATTGAAGTCAATGAAAAGATTCCCTTCAAAGTGCTTTTTATCAGGCCCTGTCTGCAGTGAACTAGAAGAGAATAAAAAATTTTACTTCCAAAACTGGGTCACAGACAGACTGCCACCTACCTTACTTTAATAAACCATAGCATGACTTACCTCCTGGTTTCATAAAATCCCTTCCATGGTGTGTTAAATGCTAAGTGTGCCACTAATGCCCAAAGGGTTTGTGTGCATTTAGAATATGTTCTCTGACAGGTAGTTATAGACAGATACAAGAAACACATTTTAAAACCAAGTAGCTTCCATTCACCCATGAGTGAACCAAGACAGGTAGGGCATTGTAAATACTGCCTAATTGTTCTATTCAGCAAGATAACACATTGCATGGTTTTAGCTGCAAAACCTACATCATCCAAGACTCAATTTACACATGTGATTTGGAAAACTCAGTCACCTACTGGCCTTGGTAGTAGTGGGTAGTGCAAGAAGTTGCAGTATTTTAAATTAAATAAGTAAACATCAATTTGTGCTTTTCAAATTTCATTTCACCAGTTTCACACACTGTCATTTTTTCACTTGAGAAAGGGCCAGTTTTGCGTGAAAATTAGTCATTTTCATGACAATTTGTCGTGGTTTTGAGCATCACAGAAAATGTTTAACATTTCAATTTCTGATTTTTTTTCCGTGACCAAC